AGTTTGAATTTAACATTTTAAACAGTAGACAACCGTTTTAAACCTCTTTCGTCTGACACTCGTATTCAAAATCATTTCGATTCATACCAATCTTCTATAAACTATAATCTATAATCTATAATAATATATATTTTGAAAGACTTTTTTATGTGTTCGCAAAGCTCGAGAACGGCCGAACCGATTATTTTGAAATTTCGGACACCTGCTTCAGACGTCCCAAGGATGGTTATAGGCTGAAAAAATTTCGATATATAAGGGAAGCGAGGCACCTCCTATACAAACCGATTTTTTCTTACTTTATATCTCTGGGAGTGTTCATGGTAGAATACCGGAACTTGGTACGGCAATATATATAAAANATTCGATTGATACCCATATTTTAATAATTCATTTAAATTATTGAATAGTTTGAATTTAACATTTTAAACAGTAGACAACCGTTTTAAACCTCTTTCGTCTGACACTCGTATTCAAAATCATTTCGATTCATACCAATCTTCTATAAACTATAATCTATAATCTATAATAATATATATTTTGAAAGACTTTTTTATGTGTTCGCAAAGCTCGAGAACGGCCGAACCGATTATTTTGAAATTTCGGACACCTGCTTCAGACGTCCCAAGGATGGTTATAGGCTGAAAAAATTTCGATATATAAGGGAAGCGAGGCACCTCCTATACAAACCGATTTTTTCTTACTTTATATCTCTGGGAGTGTTCATGGTAGAATACCGGAACTTGGTACGGCAATATATATAAAATCAAAAATATTAAGCTTCTTGACATCCATTTTTACAGCTGAATTTGATTTTTTAAAAGGTGGCAGCTCTCATCCAGCAGTGTACAAAGTTTCATGATGATCGGTTGAGTAGTTAAAGCGTGGAAGCGTAGCAAACAAACAAACTCACTTTCGGATTTAGAGTATTAGTAAAGATACTAATATATATTTTGAAAGCCGTTTTTATTCTGTTCGCAAAGCTCGAGATCGGCCGTACCGATTTTTTCGAAATTTCGCTTATAGGTTCTGGATGGGCTTTTCATTGTCTTAGGCAAAAAAAAAGTTTAAATACTTCCTAAAAATGGAACTCCAGGACTTTAAAAATTCTATAGAATCTAACATACATGCCCACATAACAGCGCTGCTCAGCGCCCTCTGCTGTTAATTCGTACGGAATACATCGCAAAGCAAGGGTTATGTATACATATACAAACGTGCTAATGGTAACGTTAATGTTGATTCTTATGTTAAAAAAAAAAAACAAATATGTATATACAGTTCATGGAGAAATAATGTAAGGAGTGTACTCGTACGCCCAACTATCTAAAGTTTTAGAAAACTTTTACTTGTTTTGCGTTCTCGTACCCAAAAAACTTGCAAAGTAGGGGAAATTGAGAGAACCAAATGTGAAAGAGAGCTGCAAATTTTTGCTGGAAAAATTTTTTCCAGCTAAAACTTGCAAGTAAGAAAATCAGCTGATCACAAACACATGCTTGTAAATAAACAAAAGAAAATATGGCCTTTTTGATTTATTTATTGCAAATTATATTATTAATGCTATTATACAACGAAAAAGTGAGTAAATTTAATAAGCACAACGTTTGTTGAGTTTATTTTTCGTTAATTTGCCATTAATATGCAGTTTGTTTACTTTAGTGTGTGCTGACTATGGTTGCCGTATGACATTTTTCGTTTGTACCATAATTTCCATAGAAATAATTAAATTTTAAGAAAAAAAGATTTTATTCAGTTAGTATTTTATTTATCATAGGCAGACACTTTATCGGCAAGTGCTGTATTCTTACCTGTTCAAAGTTGCCCTTAAATACTAAGTAATAATTTGGACCCAGAAACACTCTGGGTGGATGAAAAAACTATGTTGGCTTCTAGAAAAAAAAATAAAACAAAAAACCCTTTTATTTTTTGCAAAACTATAGCTGATTATGCATTTAACGAATAAACAACACCGCCGCTTATTTAAAATTGCCTAACTCTGTCAATTTGACCCAAACATTGCAGAAGGGTTAAGTAAGACTAATTGGCAAATGGTAGACATGAATTTATGAAAATAAGCAATTTTAAGGAGGGAATTAAAATTTATTTACTTTCCATATCAAACAGTATCGTGAATATGTGTCAGTCACACCTTTTATAGCAAATGAAGCAGTTTTTCCACAAATTTACTATTTAAACTCTGGTTATAATAATATTAACTGATTCATTATATTTAATATCATTATTAGCTATGATTGATAGACTTTTCAACTGAAAGAAAGATTGAAATAAAGAATCGATTAGAATCGAATAATTCGAATCTCGCCGTCGATTATCCGATTCCAAGAATCGTAAGGTTTAAATAAGATTCGAGAATCGATTATTTTTCAAAACTTTCCATCCCTAGCACCTCCCATACAAACCGAATATTTCATAATAAGTATCTCTGGAAGTGTTCATGGTAGAGTACTGGAACTTTATACGGGCGCGGCACCTCCCATACAAGTCGAATTTTTCTTATTGCATATCTCTAGAATTGTTCGTGGTAGTGTACTGGAACTTGGTGTGGTGATATATGAAATTAATCGCATAGTCATGGAGAAAATATGGAGCTATTGCAAAACAGGACGTGGCACCTACCATACAAGCCGAATTTCATATTGAATATCTCTAAAAGGGTTCATGGTACAGTACTGGAACACTTCGTATGGGGATATAGGAAATTAATCCCATACTCATTGAGAAAAATGGGCTCTGTGAAAAGAGGGCTTGAAAAATACAAACATACTGACTTTTACTTATCTTTGAATGTGTATATAATTCTTCTGTCCTAAATGGGTCTCTGGATAGTTTAGTTTCACAATTTAATCCGCCAGTTGGCGCTGGAGTTGAGTTATTACTTAAAATCTTTTTTATGATCTGATTTGGCGAATATTCAAAACATGTATTGGAAACGGTAAAGGTAGTCCAATTGCCAGGTGGTGCTGAGGTGGAGTTGTTACTAAAAAAGGTGCCGTAAATGTCAGACTAAATCGACCTGTTGCACCATTTAGTATATCGAACTCTCGTGTATTACGATTGGCCCAATGGATGTGATTTGCCAATATTATTATGCGTTAAAGCTTCATTCGAAGAAACCAGGGTTGAGTTGTGCAGTGGTAAATCTCAAATCACCATCTGTCGAAATACCTTAAAAGCCAGTTTCATGGAAGCAATTTAATGAAAATTTATTTTCTTAATTGAATTTTATATATACCTTGTTTATGCATACGCAAGAACCGCATTAACAAAAAGCTGATTTGACTCAACACACATTTCTTTCAAACATTTATACCTGTGTCGTTATAGCGCACTTGCTGAAACCGTATTCAAAAGTAAACAATATGGTTATTTTTATTCGATATTTCTTAAAGAATTAATTTGCGCGGTGGACCGAAATGGAAGCGGACAAGAATTCAAATTTGTTATAATAATAATTCAGATTTAAAACGGTCCGTATAAAGAAAACCAGCCTTTTTTCACTTCGTGTCAAATGAGTAATTGTTTATACCTGTTTTCTAACCGATGTGAGAAATAAAAAAGCGATTTGAAAACAAATTCGAGTCAATACACTTTTGAATTTCTGAGCGTATTGAAAGTTGGTTTATGCTTCCGTTTTGAATCACATCGAACTGGGACAAGGCGCTTTATGTGTTGGTATAAACAAGGTAATAGAACCTGACAGAAAAAAATAATTTTTCACTTAAATTCCTATCGCGAAACTGGCTTTTAAAGTATTTCATCTCAGTCTATTTATGTATATTGTATTTCTCTTGAACAAGGATACGCATTCATTTTGAAATTGCCACCACCTATAAGTTAAAGTTTTCAGGGCACATTCACTATAGATCCGGATCATTGTTGCTACAAGGGAATTTCTTATGGACATAATACTTTCGTTCGGTTATTTAAGGCGGCAAACGACCACCAAACCATAGTCTTAGCCGATGAATGTGCCAGTACAAATCGATAATGTGGATTGTTGGCGAAGCTGTTGGACTAAAATGTTTAAATTAAAAATACAATTTTCGGTGGGACGAAGTTCGCCGGGTCTGCTAGTTTTAAATAATTTTCATTTATAACAGCAGCCACATAAATAAAAGTTTCAAAGCTCGCACAATATTTCACAAAAATTAACGAAACTTCAAAAAATGGTCATCAAAATTTCAAACTATTAAATCACAATATTTAGAGAATTTTGTATAGTGTTACGCATTTTCTTCCATATTTTTTTTGGTTCAATAAATGTCTATAAGCGAGCATCAGGTCAAGATGAAGGGAAAGTGTTTTCAGGTACAGTAGTTGAGAGTTCTGGCTTTAATTCAAGCCTAAGGGTCATTTTCTCAATATCTGGTTAATACTAACTGCAGGTTAAACATCGTTATCGACGTGATCGACTCCATAGCATATAACAGGGAGTCGATAACGATGTTTATCCTGTAGTTAGTGTTAACCAGACTTTGAGAAACTGGCCCTTAGGCTTGAATTAAAGCCAGAACTGAAAACACTTTCCCTTCACCTTGACCTGATGGTCGCTTATAGACGGTTCCATGTCTCCACAACACAAGCAAAAACAGCATAAATAAAAATAACACACAAAAATAACACGAACAAAAATACCACCAATAAATATCATACACATAAATAACACAAGTAAATGATACCACGAATAATAATATGCTTTGAACTTTATTTTATTACTTTGCATTTACTTCATCTATTACGCTAATCAACATTAACTTATGAAGAAAGATTATATGCAACAGCTTTAATATACTGCAGTAGATAACCGCCAGAATCATACCTTGCCACAATAATTTCTAGTCTAGTATCTACATCTCGATAAGTTTTACTCTTCTTCGATGCAATCGATCTTCCAGCCATATGCTGGTCCAACATTACTTGGGTACACCAATTTTGTAAAATTAATATAAATAAGATGGAAGAAAATGAGTGCTGCCACTTTATTTGCGAAGAAAATGAGCTGAATACCTTTTGCAGAGAACAGCTTTCTGCTTAGGCAGCCTTCGGCTGCGCTTAGGGTTTATAACCCTCACAAATTAGAATTATCTTTCTGTTTTGATAAGAAAAGGGGCTGAACACATTTTGCAGAGAACACCTTTCTGCGTAGGCGGCCTTCGGCCGCACTTAGGGATTATAACCCTTACAAAGTAGAACTCTCTTTGTTTTGCGAAGAAAAGAGGCTGAACACATTTTGCAGAGAAAGCCTTTCTGCGAAGGCGGCCTTCCGCCGCATTTAGGGATTATAACCCTCACTAAGTAGCATTATCTTTCTGTTTTGCGAAGAAAAGGGGCTGAACACCTTTTGCAGAGAACACCTTTCTGCGTAGGCTGCCTTCGGCCGCATTCAGGGACTATAACCCTCACTAAGTAGAATTCTCTTTCTGTTTTGCGAAGAGGAGGGGCTGAACAACTTTTGCAGATAACGCCTTTCTGTGTAGACGGCCTTCGGCAGCGTTTAGGTATTATAACCCTCACTAAGTAGAACTCTCTTTCTGTTTTTCGAAGAAAAGGCGCTGAACACCTTTTGCATAGAACACCTTTCTGCGTAGGCGGCCTTCGGCCGCATTTAGGGATTATAACCCTCACTAAGTAGAATTCTCTTTCTGTTTTGCGAAGAAAAGGCGCTGAACACTTTTGCATAGAACATTATTCGGGATTATAACCCTCACAATGTAGAATTATCCTTCTGTTTTGTAACACTTTTCTGCGTAGGCGGCCTTCTGCAGCACTTAGGGATTATAACCCTCACTAAGTAGCATTCTCCGAACCTTCGTCAGAGAACACCTTTCTGCGTAGGCGGCCTTCGGTTGCGCTTAGGGATTATAACCCTCACAAAGTAGAATTCTCTTTCTGTTTTGCGAAGAAAAGGGGCCGAACACCTTTGGCAGAGAACACCTTCCTACGTAGGCGGCCTTCGGCTGCGCTTAGGGATTATAACCCTCACAAAGTAGAATTCTCTTTCTGTTTTGCGAAGAAAAGGGGCCGAACACCTTTGGCAGAGAACACCTTCCTACGTAGGCGGCCTTCGGCTGCGCTTAGGGATTATAACCCTCACTAAGTAGAATTCTATTTCTGTTTTGCGAAGTAACGGGGCTGAACACCTTTTGCAGAGAACACCTTCCAGCGTAGGCGGCCTTCGGCCGCACTTAGTGATTATAACCTTCATTAAGTTGTTGGTTCCGGGTTATTATTTAAATGTGTCATTTATGTGTATGATATTTATGAGTGTGACATTTTTGTTTGTGGTATTGTTGTTTGTGTTTTTTTTGTTTATGTTATTTTTGTTTGTGTTGTGGAGACGTCTTACCAATTAATTAATCTAAAAAATGAAATGTTTTTAGTATGACGGCAATGCCTGACCAAACGGCTGAACCGATTTCAATTCTGTAAAAAGTACTTTTTTGGACCTTCAGTGTGGAAGGTTTTTCGATTTTAAAAAATTCGAAACTTTTTGTTGTTGTTGCCAAAAAATTAAGAAACCTGCGACGTACAAATTTCACAATTCCATAGAGTTTTCTGTATATTGTATGTCTCTAAACTACTAAACGGCTGGACCGATTTGGTTCATATTGGGAACATATATCAGTACTTCGAAAAGAAATATTCGCACCAAAAATTTGCTCTCTAGGTGGCGCAGGGGTCAGGAAAGTTTTAATAAAATTGCATTTACTTGCTGATTTGGCTCATATTTAGAACATATGTTAGCCAGTTGAAAATAAATATTTGGACTAAAAATTTACACGATAGGAGGCGGTGGGATCGGGATATTCGTAACACCGTGAGAAGGATATACTATATGTACACATAAAATTGAAATGTATTTCGTATGACCGCTACGTGCCACTTCCAATACACAATGAACTTCTAATATCGCTTATTTTTGGAAGCGCTTATGGTGACGTCCTGAAATTTGACACAGCTTCTTACGTTATCAATACCATACTTTGGGCAAAAATTGGTAGGTAAGGGAATAGAGGGCGTGGCACCTCTCATACAAACTGAACTTCTCATATCGCTTATCTCTGGAACCGCTTATGCTGACGTCCTGAAATTCGACACAGCTACTTATGTTATCAATACCGTAATTTTGGTGAAAAATGGTAGGTAATGGAGAAGGAGGCGTGGCACCTCCCATAAAAGCTGAAGTTCTCATATCGCTTATCTCTGGAACCGCTTATGCTAACGCCCTGGAATTTTACACACCTACTTATGTTACCAATACCGAACTTTTGGCGAAAAGTGGTAGGTGTTGGAAAAGGGGGCGTGGCACCTCCCTTGAAAACTGAACTTCTTATATCGCTTATCTATGGAACCGCTTATGCTAACGTCCTGTAATACATAGAAAGACTGCGAAATTGAGTAAGCGCACCCTGATGAAATTGCTCGGGCCGACCGTTATAGCAGCAGGTTTATAGATCAAATTAATATACATATGTACATATGTCCTTGGATGACTAAATATTAAGGCGAATTTTAAAAGTGGCAAATTAGCAAGGAAAGAGTCGACCACATCCGTCCAAGAAAGAACACGGTAGCTGTATCAATGGCTTCATTTGAACGATATTCAAGAACTGACTCATTTAGCCAATGTTCGGGAAAACTTTTCGTCCTGGGAAACATCGATGATTTTTGGCCCTCTTTTAACAGAAAACTTATAAAGACTTTGATTGGCCTATATAACGCATCGGACCAATGTTGTAGTTGCAAAATTATTGAAAAAGATTACGCACAATTGGCAGAGACCCTACAGGTGAAAATAAGATCGTCGGTAAAGCTCATGACATCGAAAGGGATTAGTATTTTATATGGTATAACAGCGCTATGTGTGGGGAAGGTTCTGCTATTTATTTAGTAGTTTCAACCTAAACTAAGAATTTTTAATTTGCAAACCGTTTTTGCGTTTCAACGCTATTTTGGCATCGACCAACGCAAAAGTTATTATCACGTGCCGCGAAACAAGCGGGAATGGGCTAGTATTGCAATAAAAATCACACCAAATTATAAATTTCTATATATACAGTCCGCACTAAATTATTGGCACAGAGAATATTTCACAATGTATGGAACGATTTTATTTAAAATTTTCCGCGAATTTTTCATAAAAATATCGTTCATACTACAAAAAACATAAACACAAATTTCTAGACTTTGTGCAAAACTTAGAAGTTTGCATACAAGTTGGCAATTTAATACAACTAAGTGTTAGTTTGAAGTTGGTACAAAATCTCGTCTTCTTTAAGCAGCCATCGTCATTATCGGCGCGGCGGCGGCGGTGGCGGCGTTCGGCGCCTAAGGAATTTTGTACAAAATTTTCATGTTGTATGGTATATGTTGTACGGTGACAGGTAATAAGGTCAATTGAAATAAGGCCAATTGACTTTATTTCCCACCCTTGTGCGAAATGAAGTCAAATGACATTATTACCTTTTCAAAAGCGAAATAAAGTCAACAAAAATTTGGAAATAAAGTCATTGACGCTATTTCCTCATTCAAATGGAAATAGCGTCAACAATACTTAAAGTATGTCGATTCATATAAAAGTGTTGTTTTTTAATAGATGAAAAAGGTTATTGTCAAATCCTCAGTATTGTGATATTAATTCTCACACAATCATGAACTACCACAATTTGATTTTATTAAAAAATTTAAATTACGAATATGTAAAAACACGATGCGAAAAACTAAACGCCTGCGCACAGCTGGAATACGAGAAATATTTGAAGAAAGAGTTTAGAAATGATGCATAACTTGCAAAACATGTTTCGTTTCCACAAAAATAAAGCGAACACTATTAAATTGAAGAAACAGTCCATGTCCAAAAACCCCGGAGGAACACTGAAAGAATTCTGTGTTTTAAATTAGCATATTTTGAACGAATTCGGAATGTCTAAGGTGGAAAAGAAACCAANTTATGAGGTACCATATTGAGGATAAACAAGTGTTAAAATGTGCCAAATAGAAAAATAAAAGTGCCAAAAAAGGTGTCATTCCTTTTAATCATTCACATTTAGCAATAAAATAAAGCTACATTTTCCAAACAAAAGTGCAATGATAAAATAAGATAAACCTTTATAAATTAGAAACGTTTAGTTAAGAAAAAGAAGTGCACGCAAAGGATTTCACAAAAATGTATTGAAATGTAATTTTTTTTACAAAAGTGCCATTTCGGCACTTTGTGCCAAATTGAAAAAATTAAGGGCCATTTGAAGTAAAATAGGGACAAATGGCACGGTTTGAGCCAAGTTGGCATCCCTGCTTCTAATAACTTACATATATAAAAATGTGAAATATCGAGGGCTTGAATTCATTAATACCCTCTGTCTGGAATTTGCACAAAAACTAATTTGTGATTTTAGAAACCGTCTGGGACTTATTACCTGTCGTTATATAAGGTAGCATTAATATCACTGATGACAGTTAAAGCTTAGGTGGATTTTTACATCAGAATCTCATCTTTGTGAAATGTATGCAGATAGAGGGTATTTTATTGAATATAAGCCCTAGATGTTTAAAATATATACAAGTTTTATTTCAACGTATACAAAAAATAAATCTACCTACGTTACAGCATGGCGGGAGACGGGGAAGGGGGGCCAGGGGGCCGCGGCGTAGCGTGACGTAGTTTGCGCGCCGGTCGCGCGGTGTGCCACGCTGACGCGGGCCGCCGCGAAGCTAAACAAATTTAATGCTTGAAAGAGAAATAATGTCAATGGATTTTATTTCGTTTTTAAAATGGTAATAATGTCAATTGACTTTATTTCGCACCAGTCAATTGACCTTATTTCCATTGACCTTATTACCTGTCACCCTAAATACTACTCGTTTAAAAACACAATTTTACGAAATGAAAATTACTTTTTTAAAGGAGTTTTTTTTGCATAATTTTGGCCACTGGACAAGAATATGACCTCCTTTATTTTTCCAAAAAGAGCGTAACTCAGAAAAAACATAGGTAACATATTTTTCGATCGAAAGCATTTATTAGAGTTAAATTAGGGTCGAATACTGGTAATCTAACGATTTTTTTCCGCAGTATACAACTTTTTCCCATACTACAACCACAATAAAGTTATAACACATCAAAAACTTTAACGCCAATATCTCAGAAAGCAGTTTTAACCAAAGCAGCTTCTGTTCATCTAACTCATTCCATCGAACTCCTCAATTATTAGAGATAAAACAAAGACAAGTTGATTTTCCTGAGTATTTTTATTTTTTATTTTTTAAACAGACTTTAAATAAAGAGCAAACTCTTGTTTTTGCAAATTTTTACATTTGTAAGCTATTTTATTCTGGGGTCCCACATACGTATACAAGTACTAGGTGGCTGTGTGAAAATTACGTTAGCATTCCTTAATGGTGGTCAAACCCCAGGAAGGTTTTGCTCCCTCGCATCGCAACGTTTTCTACAAAGGGTTAAAGTTCCCCCTTTTTGGTAAAAATTACTATTATTTTTCATTACATTCGGTTCCCCTTAGAAAAGTTTGGCGCTTAATATTTTAGTGG